TTTCTCAGAATAAATAATCAAGTGGGAATATTTGAAATCGATTCGAAGGGAACGATAGAGATGCATCTGACTACAAATTGATCCACTGACTTTTATTTGACCTAGCATTCTAGATTACACATAAAATAATAGATCTTAATGCATAGTGAATATTTTGCTACTATTTTGGATGCATTTCGATGCCATATAACGAAAAATCAACTTTCCACTATCTTCAGTATTCCAATATGATTATTCTTTGCATGTAACTGTATGACAGTCAGCATGTAGACTTGTTCTTTATCGACGGACACTTTGGAAATTATTTTTATTATAGCTGGAGAATAGGCCGACCTCGAAAATCACACAAAATGACAGCGATCATCACGCATAGAGATTTAGCTACATAAAAAAAAAACAATGGTCATATCATCGTAAAAAGTCCTAAATAAAACTATTCAATTTTGTGCATTGTTTTCATAATATTGCAAGAATAACAAAATATCTTTTTCTAGTATAACTAAAGAATAGATTAGCACTCAAAATGGTATGAAATAATCGAGGCTAATAAGCTAGTCATTTGAGAAATATTAAAATATACTATTGATGAAGCATGATTTGTTTTATTTTTGAGATTGGTTTTTGAGGCTATGTGCTCCTGATGCTCTTGTAGTTAGTACATATCTCTAGCAACTCGAAGACACGCATTGAAGTAAAATACATGAAGAGGGTTATCACAACCATTCTATCTTTTACTAAATTTAACTCGAAACAGAAACAACTAGAACAATATATTCGATATCTTATAGACAGAAGTTTACGTCTGTACTTACCATTTGTCCGCATTTTCATAACCCAAAATATCATACCAAGCATTCAGCATTGGATCAGACATCATTTCCATCACTTCATGTGTGAGCACATTTAGCAAGCCATCAACACCGGTATCATTGTTAGGCGAAACAGTTCCGCTGATTGCACTACAACTGCTCAAGCATCTGTCTGGATTTCCTATAAATCCGTAGAAGCGGTTTATATTGTTACAAGTGAAGTACCCATGATATCCGCAATAGGTACCACAGAAAGTGTCATTTGTTGTAAGGCTTTGTTGTATATCTGGAGAAGTGAGCACCACGTAAAGACAATCTAAATTATTTTGAAAGTCTCCATTTGTAATATGGTTGCAAATTATATCTTGTATATCCTGGTCAGTAAGTTGAGTTTTATAATTGGAATTATCTGCTATTGTATTTCCAAGAGAGAGTGGACCTTTTATGTAATCACAGGGTTGTATCAATGAATAGCTATTGTAGTAGGTCTTTTCAATGTTGAAATAACTTGTATATCCTATCTTTGGAATAAAATCGTCAATAATACCTATTTGATTATTAGTCCATTTTCCATAATACTGTACATAAAATGATGTAGCTGAATAAATAATGAACAACTGACGTAAAAATACTCACCACGACATTGACGCAGACAGCTTCAGTTAATACGAGACCACCATGATAGAATATCGGAGTGCTGGACAATACACCTCCTAAATTGATCGCCAGAGGATCGTAAACTTGATGGATGAGAACATTTCCAAGTCGAACAACCGGCTTGTTTTGCGTGTCTGAAACGATATGAATTATTGCAATTCTATAAGTTTCGTAGAATAGCAACATTGATAATACAAGAAGAATTTTGTTGAACATTGTCTAGACTAGACTTCGATTAATCATGAAAATGATCAATCAGTTATTGTGCCCTATACGGTTACGTGAATAGAAATAACTGCCAATCAAAAAACTAATCAGCAAATTTTGAAAGGCAATGTGTGCCAGAAATTTGAGTAATGACAAATTTTGACCAAAATTTCTATACTAGGAACCAACTGAATTACAATATGAGTTAATCAGATGATTTAACTACGTAATTACATTTTTTAAAAGTTTTTAAATGAAGTCATTTACAATGATACTTTCAAATATGTTGTTAGTCATCGTACTATTGTAGGAAAGATACAAATTTGTCTAGAGGTATATTATTTTCACAAAGAATGTATATAATATTTCGATTAAAAGAACAATAAGATTTCCTTTTGCAAGCAGACTTAACAGTACTAGACACAGGAAACATCTTTTTTATCATTTTAATTAGATCGATATCAGTTTTCTTACGTTGTTCTTTAGTGATGATATTCTTCAAATTCTTACTTAGTAAACACTTTGATGGTGTGATAAAAGTTGCAAAGATCATAATGGTTAATAAACAAGAAACGTAGACATATTGATAGAATGTTGTATTCCAATTGGTTTGCCAGCATGATCTAGGAAACATAGTAGAGTAGATTCAATACATATATACAAATCGATCGAAGACTTTACTGTTTTCGATATTCTTGTATCACAGCTTGCTTTTCTTCATGGACATCGATCAAGTCTTCTTTTGTAGTCATTTTCATGACTATTGTGTCGTCTATAATTGTTGTATTCAATGGAAGGAGAAAATGAATTGAATCGATATCTTTCCTAATAACTTACTTGTATTGTTGATTTTTATTCTCAGGATTCAGTAAAAAAAATACTGCTGCATTATACAAAAATACGAGATATTTATATGTTTGATTTCCATTGTCATTGAAACTGTCCTTCATGATCTGAAAGACAATAGATAAAAATAACAACAACATTCATTCACTATTCATCTTTTGAGGTAGTCCTAAATATAAAGCATAGTAAATGCAAGCAAATAGTATAAAGCTAAAGATATCCTATGAATAAAAAAAGAATGCATTCATTTTCTTTGCATGCAGGACAAATATCTATTTATATTTGCAATACGTAATACTCTATGTTATATGCGTTTAACTATTATGCGCTGTTTTTTTTTCATATTAAAAAGGGCATACAGTAAGAAGAGTATAAAAAATTTTATAAAATAATTCATATCAATGAACAAATTAAAACACGAAATTAATGAAAATGAAAATAGTATATGTGAAATAAAATTTCATTTATTTCGAAACGTTTCAATCCACTTAAAATTCATTGTCAAGTAAGGTGTTCAAAACAGAAAACTAGGGCAGAATAATTTTCTCTTCCTTCTAAATATGTTTAGATAGAGCACCTCAAGATGATCAAGAGTATTTATTTTTATTCTTTTTTCGAGTGGGTTTTTATAGGAAAAAATTTTAATTTTTTTTCTTTCGAGAAAATTACAACCGTGTCTGTTCGAGATTCAGCATGAAAAATTAAATCTAGAAATGTTGTCTATAAGTGGCTTTTTCTTGATTCGGTTGTTCAAGCTGAATCTTAAAGAAACGTTTTTGAAAATTTGCAGAGAAGAAAAAAAATTGGAATTTGTTGCTTATCGAAAACTGATTTCTTATTTAGAAGAAATCATCGAAAAAAAGTATAATTTCTCTTGTAAAAGGTCATCCAGAAAAAGTCAAAATTTATCGAATAACATATAACAAGAAAAATAAAATTCTGCTGTAATTTTTCGTTTCCGTCATATTACTTTGTAATGAATTTTCGATTGATGGATATGTGATAAATGAAATAAAATTTGATTTCATATAGACTATTCTCATTTTTATTATTTTTATTCTTTCAATTTATCTATTTTCATATATTATTATATTTTTAGTTTTAACTCAATCTTTGGACAATATATATATATGTATCATTTCGATTATGGTTCTTTATTGTTATCGTTTAATTATTTCATTTTTATAAAATATAGTATTTTCAATTCTTGTGTAATGTTTTGACAATAAATATATTATTTCGATTATGTGTCGCTTTTGGTATTCCGTGAAAATGACTCTTTACTTGAATGAATGACTGTCTAATCATCAAAATTTGATTTTAAATATCCTATTTCATATGTACGAATTTGATTAAGGTTCTAGAAATGAAAATTTAAATCGGAGATAGTTTTTTTTTCATGCTATACATATGGTTAAATAGAGCATAAGAAGCTGAGATGGAATATCTGTTTTCAATTTTTTTTTAATCATATTTTAGGGAATAAAAGTTAGTTTTTCCCGATGACGTAATCTCTTTTGAAAAAGAAGCCAATTTTCGATAATTAACAAATTCCGGATAGCCTTCGTTCTCTGCAAAATTTCCAAAACTATTTCTTCGACATTTACCGTGAACAATTCAACCTAGAAAAAATATTAATAATCAACATTCCTAGATTCACTTTTACACACTGAAACTCTGTCCCAACAGATTTGAAATTTTCACGAGAGAAAGAATACATGAATTTTTCTGATCTCGAAAATCGATCTTTTTTTAAGAAAAAGAAGATCGACGATAAACAACTGAAGTTTTTTCACCTGGAAAACCATTCGAAAAAATTCAAAAGAAATATTCTTCATCAGCTTCTGAATCTCTATCTAAGCATATTTATACTAATTTCATCGTTTGAATCGTTCATTTATATTGATTAGGATACAGAAATCTATGCTCTCCTTTCTGTATGCCTTTCGAAAAGTCAAAATAGCTACGTATAATAATGCAATTATGAGTAGTCACATGTTGCATCTGGCAAATATGTATAGGCGTATAGCTTGCACGAAAAAATATGTCTTTGTTGTTTGCTTTTGCGTTCTATATCTATGTGTATTCTGCCTATTTGCATATGTCATGAATCTATTTTAGGACTACCACAAAAAATGAATCGTGAACGAATATTGTTGTTTTTGTATCTGTTAGATTATGTGAAATCAAACAGAACTTCGACGACAGCAGAAGTGAAATATATATGGTAAAGGTTCTCAATAAAAACAACTATGTCAGACGTTTGAAGAATTTTATTTTTTAATACGTCATTTTATATGATACAGGTTGGTTGAAAAGTTTTGAAAGCGACACCTATTAACCAGTAGAGGAATCAAAATTTATACGCTATTTTAATATTTCATCTTCCATTGGAACACACAAAAAATTCTATTTTGATTGGTCAATTCATTATTTGTTTACAAGCCATTTGAAGTTGACGTGTCAGTGTATTTTGTTACAATGGAAAAAACCGAATATCGTGCAGTGATAAAATTCTTTGTTTTGGAAGGTTTATCAGCAACAGAAATTCATACAAAAATGGTGAAAGTGTTAAAGGAATCTGCTCCTTCATTTCCAACTGTGCATCGATGGGTTTTAGAGTTTAAACGTGGTCGTACAAGCGTTGAAGATGAACCACGTAGTGGACGTCCAAAAAGTGCAACAACACCAGAAATCATTGAGCAAGTCTATGATATTGTTTGTAAAGATCCAAGTTTGACTAAGCGTGAAATTGCTGATACCATAGGCATCTCAGATGAACGAGTACTCCATATTTTACACGAAGAATTACATATGAAAAAGCTGCTCGGAAAGTTAGTGCCGCATTCGTTAACAATTCAACAAAAACTGAATCGAAAACAAATTTCTCAGCGTAATTTGGAGCGTTTTAAGCAGAATAAAACCGATTTTGTGCGTCGTTTTATAACTATGGATGAGACTTAGATCTACAGGTTGGTTGAAAAGTTTTGAAAGCGACACCTATTAACCAGTAGAGGAATCAAAATTTATACGCTATTTTAATATTTCATCTTCCATTGGAACACACAAAAAATTCTATTTTGATTGGTCAATTCATTATTTGTTTACAAGCCATTTGAAGTTG